CATTTGATGAGAGGCCTCCTTAAAGCTGACACATAAATTTAACCAGGCCGCCCGAGTCCTGCACAGGGACGTCTGCAAATGCTCAACAGCACTTGAATTGTTGGGTTTTTTTTAAATTCCATCGTTGCGGGCACATCTGATAGCCTATTTCTTCCTTAGGGTCTTTGGAAGTGCTCAGGAGGTCATTTGCTGTGCCCTGTCCCAGTTCCTTTCACTCTGCTTGTGAGCAAAAGATTATTTTGGGGTATTTTTTATGTTGACTTTCTTGAACAGTCCAAGGGGCTTCTCCTTGGAGCTGCCACAAGAGCAGAAAACTCATCTCTGGGTGGGATGGGAGAGACATGAGATGCTGCTGTAGGATGCCAGCAGTGAGGGTCCTGGTCCAGTGCCACTCTGTCTCTGGAACTGTGCCGTGGCTGGTGGGCTCTGTGCCATCCTGGTGTCACAGCAGCCCAAAAAAGTGGGAAATGAGGATGCCCAGGGTGTCACAGCTCTGCTCCAGGCTCTGGTCCGGGGCTCACCCCAGCACCTTCCCAGCATTTCCACAGAGTATGGGCTGGGAGAAGCCACTTGGATGCTCTGGATCTCTCCCCCAGCCCCCCACAGTCCCCACATCCCAGCGAGACCCTGAACAGCAAAATAATCACTTCCAGCATCATTATCCATCACAAACCCCAGCTTCCAATTTTAATCAGAGGAGCTGGTGTTGCTTTAAGATCTGCGGGTTTTAAAGATCACAAGAGGGGTTAGAGAAAATTACCCTTGACTCTTACATGCTAATGTAATCTCTAACCAGATCTGCAGCACTGCAGCTAAAATTGCTTTTTAGATTAACATTTAATTATTAACAGGGCCCCCTGAAAGGCCTGGGGCTGGAGCACACGGAGGGGAGCGGATTAGCCGGGGGGGATGAGGGAAGGTCGGGCGAGGGAAGGTCGTGGGGTGACCGGCGGCACCTTTGGTGACAAACTTTGGGTGTTATTTTACCTGATGCTCCCCGTGGTTCACAATGGGGTCACCTTTCTATGCTCACCCCTTGTAGGGCTGAGCTGGGTGGGAGATGGGTACAGCAGTGCCAGGTAGCAGCACCAAAATCCTGCTCACCCTGCAATGGGGTGGGAATCCACTGTGTGCAGAGGGGAATCCTTCCTCCTCTGGCACATCCTCACCCTCGGATGGGAAATCAGTGTCCGTGGGGTGTGGTGACAGGGAGCTCTGATGTCCTCAGGGCTGTGAGGAAGAGGAGCTCCCTGCTGGTGTGGTTGGATTCTCCTCCATCCTTGAAGGGATGAGGGACAGGGGTGTTCCCAGTTGTACTTTGGGTGTGCTCTGCACACCAGGGGCCAGTGAGGGTTTTTGCTTTGTTTCTCTGGTTGCTGCCAGCCTTGGCCTCGCCCCACGCTCTCCGTGTGCCTCTCCCAGCCGGAGTCACCCCTCACCTCCTGTCCTTGTGCCAAACCCAGTGCTGGCTTTTGATAGCCAGGGGGGACATAGCCTTGGTATGACTCTTTGCAGCATCCCTGGTCCTGCCCCCATTTCCTCTCCTAACCCTAAATCTCCCTTTTGATGGGCTTGCACCCTGATAACACCAGGGGAAGGATCTGGACATGTTCCACCACAGCCTGGATGGTGACCAAGACCTTGTCCCTCACCATCCCTGCCTTGCCACACAGACCCACTTCGGGCTGAGACTTTAAAAGTTCCTTTTTTCTTTTCTCCCCCCTCCCGTCACATTTTCTTTTATCTAAATCCTCGCCTGCAAAAGCCTCTATCGACAGCTGCGCTGGCCTTATCTCGCGGGAGGGACCTTCGCAGGGCTCTCGGAGGAGATAAGCCCGACTTATCAGCTGCTGATGTCAGAGGAGGTGCCAAACCCTCCCATCACTGGGGCTTTAGACATAGAGGGTGGTGTTTTTTATTAAAGTCACAAAGACCTTGGGCTTATAAATAGTGTGATGTCGAGATGGATTAGCTGGGTGTGGGGCAGGATGGAGTGGTGGGAGAGAGGAAGGAAGAGCTGTGGCTCCCCCATCCCTGGAAGTATTCAAGGGCAGGTTCCACAGGGCTTGGAGCAACCTGGTCTAGTGGAAGACATCCCTGTGCATGGCAGGGAGTGGGACAGAATGGGCTGTAACGTCCCTTCCAACCCAAAACATTCTGTGATGCCGGAGTTGTGGGATGTGGGGTTGGGGCTCCTGGGGGATCTTGCTCCAGGTGTCCCCAGGGTCCTCACTGTTGGTGGGGCTCACCCTGTGCCCCAGTGCTGGATGATGGTGGGTCCACGTGCACAGCCTGGGCAGAGGCTGTGCGAACTCGGGGGCGTTCCAGCAAAACTGCTGAGTGTTGCCTTCCCTGCCACGAAAGAGCCAGAGCAGCTTGAACTAAATCGGATCCTGCTGATTGGAATTAGTTCAAATGCAGATGGAGCTAACTAAGCCGGCGCTAAGCGTTGGACAGCCCAGCGCCCAATTCCCATCAGCTGATTCAGGGGCTTTTCGGAGCGGCATTAGCGAAATGCCACCGTGGCACAGATGCCCATTGTGCCAGGCACCCACCCGCTCGCCCACGGGCCTGCTGGGGCTCGGGGCTTGTGGCAGGGTGCCGGGGTGGACAGATGGACGCTGTTCTGGGGTTGTGGCACCTGAGCCTTCCCGCTTCTGAGCGTGCCTGTGAAGGTGGGGTGAGGTGCGGCGTAGCTGTCTGGGGACAGTGGCAGGGTCTGGATTAATCGGTGGCTTTATTCGGTTTGGCATGTGGCTCCCGTGTCAGGGCGCAGAGAGCAGGGCTGGGGACAACCTGTGACAGTATGGGGGTGTCCCCAGGGATCTGCTGAACCCTGTGGCGGGCTGCCTCCACACCCTCCCTGTGCCAGCAGGTGGGTTTGGTGACACCCTGGGTGCTTCCTCGCGTGTCCCAGCGACCTGACGGGGATCCAGCAGTGGCACGAGCCACCCACGCCGCCCGTGTCTGCCAGGGACACGGGTCAGGGTGACGTCTGCCACTAATCGGCCAGATGGTGACACCCGGCGGGACGCCAGCGCTCAGGTCACCGTGGAGCTCAGGCTCAGGTGCCACCATCCATCCCCTGCACGGCTGTGGGTGCTCTGATCCAGGGCCACCCTTCAGGGACAGGGACAGAAATGGGGATGAGGTCAGGGTGGCGGCTCCCATCATGGAAAATCCAGGCGCTGGGCACATTCCAGGGGAGCCGAGGCGCCGGGAGCGGGGCTGCGTAATGAACCCCGAGTCCCGGCGGGGAGAGGAGAACTCCTGGCAGTCAAGTGCGTTCAGGCTCTGAATAAGAAGCACTTCATTCTCTTTTCAAATTGTATAATTTCTGCCTGATTGTAATGGCATATTTTAAAATTACCAGAAATCGAAGCCAGAAAATGGATACGGCTGCTTTTTACTGCGAGCTGCGTTAACAAAGGATATGTAATGCATGAAATAAAAACACCTCCCTGCCCCCCTCCTTTTTTTTTTAAGACAGTAATAGGAGAAAATTGGTTTTGAAACTGAATAAAAGTCCCTTTCAGAGGAAATCATTTCTTTCAGGGTACCTTTGCTGAAAGTAAAATAGTGAATAATGAAAGGTGGTTACATGATTGTCTTTCATTTAGAGAGCGCGAGGACAGATGGAATCTGGGAGAAATGCACGATTGGAATAATTGCATGGTAACAAGGCGCTTGTTGTGAAATTAGTATCTTAAGAAAGTAGTGAAAAAGGCTTTTACTCATGAATACTTCATTATTAGGAGAAAACAGCACAATTTGGGTTCTCCAGACACCTGCTCGGTATTAGATGACTTCCTCCCCTCCTCCTCCTCCTCCTCCTCCTCCTCCTCCTCTTCCTCACACCTTTTGCTGACAAATCTCTCCTTGTCGCTGGTTTGCTGGGGGAGTCAGGGTGAGACCCTGAGCCTGATGAGCCCAGCTGAGGCATGGACACCCTGCATGGATCCCATCCTGAATTATCCCAGAGCCTGGCACCCCCTGCCTGGTGGAGGGCACAGGGCAGGAGCGAGCAGCCCAGGTCCTGTTGTGTGCGCCCACGGTGGATACGAAGGTGTTTTGAAGGGTGACATTTAAACCAGCAGAGCTTGGAGAGCCCCAGGCACAGCTCAGGGAGCATCAATCCATGCTTTGTTTCCTGGTGCTGATGGTCACGGGCTCTGCCAGAGGCCACCACGTGCCTGAGGCCACCGCATCACGCCGTGCCAGCACTGGGACATGTGGGAAACATCCCGGATGGCTGCAGGTGGGCACGATTCCCCCACAACGGAGAAGATGGAGTGATGTACCCAGCAGTGACACCCATCCATGATGTCCAGTTGTGACCCCCAGCCATCATAAACCTTCAGCCAGAGAGCAGCAGCAGCGCAGGAGCTGAAATGCTGGTGGATGGGCACCACGCCTGCTTTTCTGCTGCTCCTGCCCACGTCTCCCTGCCCTCTCCGAGTGGGAATATCACTCCCTGCGCCAGCTGGAGCAGTGGGAGGGTGTCAGCAGCAACTGGTTATAACTCAGGGCCCCGGCGGCGGCTGGGGAAGGATGTACAATGAGCAGCACCGTGGTGACAACGACTTTGGCCTGACCCCTCCAGCTTTTGTCGAGCAGATTTTGATGCCAGCTGGGAGCTGGCGACAGATCCCAGGACCCCGAGTGAGATGTTAACGCTCTTTCCCCAGCCTTGGCCGGGTCACTCCGTGCCAGGAAACACCGGCTGGCACCAGCGGAGCGGTCTGGCACTGCCACCACGCCCCGGCTCCGCCACATTCCCGGTGGGAAGGGCGGAAAGCTCTGCAGGAAGTGCAAATCACCTGCTGAGACCTTCATATTTATTTTATATACATCCCTATTCGTTCCAGGCTTTCAGAGTTAGTTGTTTATCTCCAGAGGAGCGAAGGCACTGAGTGCTGGGGAGCTCCTGCCGGGTGGGCGCAGGGGTGGTGGCAGGGGGTGGCAGGTCCCTGGCTCACCGTGTGTCTCCTCTCTCACAGGGCACGGGGCGGCAGCGCCCGCAGGGAAGCCCGGACCATGCTGGCCTGCCTGCAGAGGACCCAGAACCCCCCAGCCCAGCACCTCCCCTGCCCCAGCAAGGCGCTGGAGCCACGCAAGTGTAAGTGCCCGGGGGCGGGCGCCCGCTTTGATGCTGTTTCCCTTATTGAAAAAGACATTTATTTAACCGATAATTAAAAAGAGCAGGAGAAGCGGGGAGGAGAGGGGGAGGAAGGAGCCAAGATAAGCAAATTAAATTGGGTTCTGTGGTTGATAAGTCCAACTTCAGCAAATGTTGCAGAGCTGCCTGGGAAGCGTGGCGGCAGCAGAGGATGGTGCAGTCGGCCCCCCAAACCTCCCCGGCCCTTCCCCCCCTAATTACTTTCCCCGTTTGTGCTGCAGCTCGCCTTCCCCAGGAGCTGGCCTTTCAGATAAGCTGTAAACTAGTTACATTAAAATGGGATCCAAAAGGTCACTCCAGCAAAGCACCTGTCTCTCCCAGCCTTTGTCTCTCAATCCAAACCGTGATTAAATGTATATTTAATGAGCCTGCTTTAGGCAGGCGTGTTTGACCTCCCCGGCTGGGAAAGACGCATTAAGATTCTCAAGTGATGAATGTGTGTTTTAAAGAGGGGAGTGGATATTTTTCTGCTGGTCTCAGTTGGATTTTTAAACATTGCCGGCTGAAGACAAATCAGCTGCTAAAGCTCTGCTTGTTAGGCTGTGACAGCCCCTGGGTGTTTGTTTAATGAGCTGGATTTTCCTTTTTTTTTTTCCCCTTCTACCTGGGCACCCTGAGCAGCCAGGTGAGCTGGGCATGGGGTTTGGGCAAGCTGGGCATGGATTTTGGGTGATGCTCAGCCTCCCTGAGGACCCCAGCATTGCTTCAGCATTGCACTGCCAGCCAGGAGGGTTATTTATCCCTGGAAGTGTTCATGGCCATGTTGGACAGGGCTTGGAGCAGAAGGTGTGCCTGCCCATGGGAGGGTGGGGGAAGTGGATGGTCTTTATGGTTACTTCCAACACAAACCATTCTGGATTCCATGATTTTTTGTGTGAAGCGCAGGGAACAGGACACCCAGACCAGAGGTGGGGTTTTGGTCACAGGTGTCACAGTGCAGCTTGCACTGCACTGGAGCATGCTGTGCCTCCCAGGTCTCCTCCTTAATGGTATCTGGAAGGAAAAAGGATGCTGCTCTTGTAAAATCTTGTAAAATTATTTGTAATCCATCACGCCTGAGCAGCGCGGCGGTGCAGGGCTGCCCAGGGGTGTCCAGCTCCTGGAGCACCTGGTTGCCATGGAATAACGAGCTCAGCCATGCCCACATGGTCTGAGACCCACGGGCAGGGTGAGCCTGACAGGGTTTTCTGGAGACTGGAGGTGTTCAGTCAGCATTGAGAATCTCTGTGTGAGCTCGTGATCCTGAGGTCAGGATACACCTGCTGGTCCCCACAGCATTCCCTGGATGCAGCTCAGAGCTAAGGACCGTCTCAGCTCATGGAACAAAGCCCAGAAGCACCTTCCTGCTGGGAGACCTGGTGCTTTTTACCATTTCCACCCTGCCATAGGTGCTGAAATACGAAGGTTTGGGAAGCAGGAGTCCTTATGTGGTGTCACATATGGTGCCATGGGTGTGAGAGATGCAGATACAGCTGTGTCCTCCTGGATACAGCTGCCTGTGTCTTGGGAAGGTCCCAGCCCCAGGGTCCCAGTGGTCCTGGAGTTGTGCCAATGGGATGAGGGCAGAGGTTTAGCCCCAGACCCAGACCCTGGCAGTGTGGGGTACCCAGGAGACAGAGTTTTTGACTGGTCTCAGGTAGGACTTTACTCACCTGAGCTCTCAAAGGGACTTGTGTCCCCTGGGATAGGTGGCAGCAGCCAAGCTCCTCCCCAGACCCCCATGCCACGCTCTCCACTGCCTGCCACCAGCCAGGTCACCTTAATCAAAGTTTAGCTGCCCGTGTGTTTCCGCTCATTATGGGCAAATCCTGCACGTCTCGCTCCTCTCTGCCTCCTGCCAGCGCAAATTAAATTGCAGGTGACATCCAGGGCCGTGCATCTGGCTTGGAGCACAATTTTCCCTTCCTTATTTATGGCACCTGTGGGAAGCACGGCGGAGGGGCCGGGAGCTGCCGCCGCCAGCGGAGCGCCCGCGCGGGGAATCGGCGCGGAGAGCGCGCTCTTCAAACCAGGCGCAATTTAGAAGTGCCTCTGATTACTTAATTTGCTCCTGAGTATCTCAGTAATTATCTTTATGGGTCTTATTTCTGTCCTCTGGCATTGTTTCTGTCGATATTAAATGAGTCTGGCTCTCGGCACATTGGCCGTCTGGCCCGGCACCACTGTGAAATCCTATTATCCTGCCCGTGCTGCTGATTAATTTTGGTATTAATTTCACGTAAAAGGTGAGCTGACTAATTTTCCTGCCCGTGCAGGGAGCTGCTGGTGCCTTCACCCCCCAGGTCTGCCCCTGGCCTTTCCTGCTGTTTGTTGTCCCCCCATCTCCGTGCCCCCCACATCGGTGTGGCTGCATCCCAGCGGGCCCGGAGCATCCCAAAAATCCATCCTGACAGAGCTGGAGGTGACTTTGCTGCTGTTGCCAGCAGTATTCCCAAGGCTGTTCCATAGGAACTAGCCTGGCATGCCTTGAGGAGGATGCAGGAAGGTGCCAGAGCCCTTCCAGCCCTGCCTGTGCCTCCCTCCTCCCGCAGAGGAGCAGGAGCCTGCAGAGCAGCAGTATCCTCAGGAAAATATCACGTCCAATTAACTCCAGCAGCCTGGTCCCTTTTGATTTTATCCGGGGCACATTTACAGGAATCCTGAGCTTTATTTAAATTATAAATCAAATAATGCCCCTCTCAGCTTGGCCAAACTCTTTGCTGCTCCCACTCTCAGCAGTCACGGAGCAGTGGATGATATTTAATGAAATATTAACTTTCCACGTGCCCTCCTCCAGCCAGCCTGGGGCTGGGAGTGTGGCAGGGAGCAGGATGTGTGTCCCCTAAAGGGGCTGGGAGCCACGGGGAGTTCACAGAGGTGAACCTCGTGAGCATGCAAGAAAGATGGAGAGGGGTTATTTACAAGACCATGGAATGGCAGGATGAGTGGGAATGGCCTCACACTGCCAGAGGGAAGGGATACATGGATTTTGGGAAAAAATTCTTCCCTGAGAGGGAGGTGAGGCCCTGGCACAGGGTGCTCAGAGAAGCTGTGGCTTCCCCATCCCTGGAAGTGTCCAAGGCCAGGCTGGATGGGGCTTGGAGCTACCTGGGATAGTGGGAGGTGTCCTTGCCCGTGGCAGGGGGTGGCACTGGATGGGCTTTAAGGTCCCTGCAACCCAAACCAGCCTGGGATTCTTTCACCACTCAAATCCTGAGCGTCCCATGGGAGCTGCCACCTCAGCCCCACGGGGACAGTGTGATAAATGGCTTTTTGGGGTGGCACAAACCCTGCCAGGGCCCATCTGGGTATTTAAACACCCACGAGGGGATGGCCCTAATGAGAGGTGATGGCCAGGGCTCCCTGCCAAGCACTCAGCTCCAGGGTCACCCACAGCTCTGCCTGCACCTGTGGGGACTCTCATCAGTGATAAACCTCTTAATTGCACACGGGATGAGGCCCCATTTAATGGCCTCTCGTTACCCAATTCTGCTTGTTCCAAGGGCATTTTCATTAGAGTGGCTGCAGCAAGGCTTTGCTTTTGTACACACCCATAAAATATCATTTTAATTTCATGAGGGGTTACACATGAGTGAAGTAAGATTAATTCTTTCATTTTCAGTTTCTGGAAGGGATCGGTTAATGATGGTTCTGTGTATTTATATACGTGCCATAAAAAGGAGTTCAATTAACTGCTGGGCCCAAAATGTGCTGTTGACTTGCACTTTCCCTGCCAGGAATTGCTGCAAAAACACTTTTCCATCGGTCATGTGAGGGGATGGAGGGTGAGGTGGGGCTGCTCAGTGCCCATCTCCTGCCAGGTCAGAGCCCTGGGTTTGGGGTGGGCTTGGCTGTAATGGGGCAGCGCACGAGGAGGTTTGGTTTGTGTCAAATTTCCTAGTTCTGTGATGGTCCATTGGCCACTGAGCAGCTTCCTGGGCACTGGCAGACCCCAGGATGGGGCACCCTGCTTTGGAGATGCTCACCCTACTCCCCTTGGCAGGTACAGAACCCATGTCTTAAATTAATTGAAATATTAATTGGCTGGGGATGAGTGAGCAGAGGGGGCAGCTGGGATGAGCTGCAAGGCCAACAGAGGCGGTGGAGTCCCCTCCTGGTCCCAGAGTCTCTTGGAGACTCTGTGGTGAAATGGCATCAGAGCTTCTGAAAGGTGGCACTGGGACAGCACTGTGGTGGCAGTTGTGCTGGGGTGGCCTCAGGGCTGTGCTTGGGCACTGTTGGGTGACATACAGGGTGACATTAGGGCAGTATTGTGGCAGCATCATGGTGGTGCTGAGCTGGCACTTGAGTACCGTGAGGGTGGCACCAGGGTGGCACTGGGGTGACACCGGGCTGCGAGCGGGACAGCATGGGCACGGCTTTGGGCTGGCACCAGGGCATCGTGGCGCGGTGGCACGGTGGCTGTGGTGGCACACAGAGCACGCACGGTGCCTGTGCCGGGCTAATACCTCGTGGAGGAGACAAATGGGAAGTGACACGTGTGTGTGTAGACGGGTATTTGCGGTGACGCTTTGACTGCAGATAATAAAGTGCTCGCCCCGAGGTGATCCAATTCAGCAGCCGCCTCGGCAGAGCCGCGCGCGCGACGAGGGGGAGAAGAAAGGGGAGGAAGAAAGGCCCGTCTGAAATGACATGTCAGCCTAAAAAGGGAACGCGTTAACGGATGAATATCTGGGGACGGCGAGCCCGGCGCTTCCCTTTGTGCTTTGTCATGAATTTTGTTGTCTTTGCAGATTCCGGCGCTGCCGCGCGGGGTTTGCCACCTACGGTTATTCAGATGGATTTCTCCCGCTGTTATTGCTGTAGTTGGTTTAATTTAAGCCCCCCCAGAGCCGGGGCGGGTTTGTTTCTGCTCCTGGCACTGGGGATGCTCCACGCTGGGGCTGGGGGGTCCTACAGTGGGGGCTCTGCCTTGGGGACACGGTGGTTTTGGGGACACGGCGGTTTTGGGGACAGCACAGGGAGCTGGTCATGGGTGCTGCTGTCCCTTCAGGGATGGGGAGGGTGTGCAGGGACCCCCACGGCATCAGTGCCACCCATCCTGGGGACACTGTCACCATAGAAACCGCCTCTCATGCGGGGTGGGATGGCGGGGGGATGTGGCAGCCACCCAACCCACCCGGAGTGGGGGGCACGGTGCCCGCGGTCCCCCTGCCCGGCAGCACCCAAAATCCACGTGGCTGCTCTCCCCATGCACCCACCCCTTGGTCACCCTGGTCTGGGCAGGGCAGCATCCCCCAGCCACCCCCCAGCTCCATCTGGGACCCCCTGGAATCTGCCCTGCCCTTGGCAGCTCCCAGCTGTGCCAGGCTCTGCCCTCCAGGGCAGCCAGATCCTGCCAGGCAGCTTTGCTGCTTGGGGCACAGACCCAAAACTTGAAGGACTGTCTTGATTTGTTAAATGTAGCAGCTTTTGTTTGTTTTCTTCAAAGTGTTTTCCAAATATTGAGGTTTCTTCCAAGTGTTTTGCAAATATTTAGGGTTTAGCTTTTAAAAAATCTGTTCCCAGTGTGGCAGGCAGAGAAAAAGGGAATTTTTGTTGCTTTTTGAAGCTTTGAAGGCATTGGGATCGCCTTGCTGCGAGGGGAACAGGGATCCTGGTCCCAAAGCTGGGAACAAGCTCCCTGCTCTCACAGAATTTAATTCATTTGGAGGCTGCAGCACTATTATTTTTTAATAAGAGCCATTGCCACGGCTGCTCAGGTCCCCAGTGTGCTCCTGCCTCTGCCTGGCATCGCTCCCCTTCCCACCCCTCCTGCCCCTGTGCCAATTAAAAATCCTGCCTAATTGCTTCCCTTCTGCCCTGCCAGCTCAGAGAGGCCGGGCAGGAACAAACCAGGAGCTCAGGGCTGGAAATGGCAATGCTATTCTGGAAGAGGGGCAGGGATGAAGGGTGAGGATGAACAGGGATCCAGGAAAATGCCCCTTCCCATGGGGAATGTGTCAATGGGACAGTGTGAAGACAGAGCTGGGGCAGACACTTCCCTTGAGCTGCTTTTTTGGGGTTGAGCCCTCCATTGCAGCTTTTTTCCCATCTGATAAAGGGGTGAAAAGCCTTTTCCTTTGGGACCATGGGGAAGGCGAGGCCCATCCCCTGCTCAGGGAAGCTTCCAGCCACACGTCGCCTTTGGCAGCTTTATAAAGATTCCCCGCCGAGATTACTTCTTTCATTTATTGCAAAATATTGTAGCGCCTTCGATGTGTAAAAATAAGGATTGTCCCATCTTATCTGGGAAGGAATGGGGGGGAGGGAGGGAGCAGCACGTGTCTCTCGTGCTGCTGTTAACCAGTGAGGTGCCGTGTCCTGCCACGCTCCTGAGGAGTCCTGCTGGTGCTGATCCCCAAAGTGTTCCTTCTGTGCACCCAAGGGATGCTCCCCAATCCCCACCCAGGGCTGGGCAGCTGCCAGGCAGTGCAGCCTCATGGAGGGGAAATTAAAGGCACAAATTGCTGGTGCCTGTGCTCGTCCTCTTCCAGGGAACAGGGAACCCAGGCAGGCAGGTTGTTCCAGCATCAGCCTGGGGGTCACACAGGCACCTGGGCTGTGGGAGCAGAGTGGAGCTTCCTTCTGTGTGCTGAGTGTCCATCCTGCCCTTCCTGGTCTGGAGCATCCTTCCCAGTACTGAACATCCTTCCTAGCAGTGAGGATCCACTCTGTCCTTCCTGGTTCTAAACATTCCTCCTGATCCTGAACACCCTTCCTGGTCCTGAGCATCATTCTTCTCCTTCCTGCTCCTGAGCATCCTTCCTGGTGCCATTTTGATCCCACAACTGCTTTAGACAAGCAGACCCTGCTTAGCTGGTCTTCCCTCCTTTCTTCCCATCTTCCTTTATTTTCCTGGACCCTGTGGGCTGTGGCTGCAGCTGGGCATGGTGTGGGAGTCCCTGGGGACACCAGGGATCAGGGGAATGTAGGGGATGCAAGGATTTGGGGGATTTGGGAGATGTAGGGAATGCTGGATGTGTGGGGGATGTGGGCGATGTGAGTGATGCCAGCAGCAGGTGGGCACATTTGAGGAGGTTTTGGGAGGGGTTTCTCCCACCTCTCCCACCCTTCCTGCAGACATCCCTGTTGGATATTTTGCCTCATCCTGCTGCTCCAGGCACAGCAGGGCCAGAGCTCCCTGCTCCATAAACCAGAGATTTATCCTGGACCGCAGCCCCAGAGGGGTTTGGGATTTACATCTGTGTCTGGGACTGGGTTTGGTGGCCAATTTGCTAAAGTAAAAAGTTGTTTAGCTGGAGGCATAATCTCATAAGCCCGTGCTGCCATTAGCTGGGGTCTCCTCGCTTCCTGGCTTTCCAATAATGCTCCAAGCAGAAGCTCAGAGTAATATAAAAAGCCATCGGATTATTACTGTGGGCGATGCATTTTCCATTTACAGTTATAAAATACTGAAGAAACAAAACAATTTAAAATTCCAATAAAATTCAAACCAAATCTTTGGCTGCTGAGCAGATTCAATTATTTAGCTGTTATTGAGTGCAGGCTGGAAAAATAGAGCAGGTCAGGGAGGGAGGGGGAGCTGGGGGGGGTGTGCTGGACGCATCCCATGGGAATGCCAGTGAGGGAGGGAGCTGGGAGGGAGGCAGGGAAACATCTGGGAGGAGGGGCAGTGGCTGGGCTGGGTTTAGGGGTGGTGGCAAGAGGTGGTGATGGCTGTGCTGGCATTCCCAGCCCTGCAGGTTGACTGCTGTGGCAGGCACATTCTTTTCTCTTTCAGGATTTTTCATAGAGGAGCACAGAGGAAAGAAAGAGAAAACAATTTTCTATTTCTGCTCGTTGTTTTTCCATGTGGAATGCGTTTGGAAAATTGTTTACCTGGGGTGTTGCTTGATTGGATTCTGGTGAGGATTGTTTGAGCCTGATGGCCAATCCAACCCACCGGGAGAGCGGCTTTCTGCCATCCCCACCCTGAGATGTGACAACACACCAAATCGGTGCCGTGTCACAGCCAACGCAGCCGGAGCAAAGGGGTGACGAAGGCTGCTCGGGGCTGGTGGTGGCAATGCCCTCGGCCGTGTCCCGTGGCACAGGGCCAGCCCTGAAGCTATAGCCCCAGCGCGTGGGGACAGGGTTTTGGTTATCGCCATCAGGGAACCGCGGTGCTCGCAGGTGACACCGCCTCCTTCCCTCCCTCCTGCAGCAGCCCCTTGGATTTTTAATATTTTTTCCTCAGAAAGGAGCATTTCCACGGAACGGGCTCATTAGGGATTCTGTAAGTGTCACCAGCTAATTAGTGTCATGTTAATTGAGTATTCACGATGCTGCCACCTCCAAGGACAGTGGTGCTGGCATGAAGGGGAATGCAGATGTGCGTGCTGTTCCGTGCCGTGCCATTCCATGCTGTGTCTCTGGGCAGAGGGGTCCGGTTCTCAGCCCCCCTGCACCCACTGGCTTGGGGGGTGCCCATGCCCAGCAGAGCCCACCATGCCCCCCTCAGTGAGCCCTCACTGCCCTGCTGGCTCTGCAGGAGCTTCCCTGTGCTTCTCAGTGCTTGGGATGTCCTGGTGCCACACGTCCTCACGTGTCCTGCTGGAGGGAGCTGCTGGTGCTGTTCCTCCTGTGTTCCGACAGCTCCTCTAAATCCTCCTCAAAGGCGCTGGTTTTAATTGGCTTAATACACTCGTTAATAACAATGTCTATTTAAGACACCTGTAAAAAGCCCATAACATCAGCTTAATGGGAGCAATGGCTGGCACAGGCTGCGTCCTGCCTGGGCAATTACTGCCCTGATGGAGAGCATGGGGAGCAGCCACAGTCTCACCGCTGTGTCCCCCTCTGCTGCTGGCAGCAGGGGTGATGTGGAAAGTCACAGATTCCGGGGCATCCCTCCCACTGAATCCTGGTTTTAACCAAAGCCTGGCTCATCCTGGTGTGTCACAGCCATGGAAATGTCACTCAGAGCGGGACTGGGACAGGGAATGTGGAATGTACCCAGAAGTGCAGCTCTTCCGTGGTGACTTTGCCACCCAGGACGTGGTGGCATCAGGGAGCAGAGTGCTCCAGGTACTACTGGGGGGCTGAACTGCCTGGGAAGGGTGGGCCTCACCAAACCCCCCAGTTTTTCCATCTCTCCCTTGCAAAACCTTCCTCTGGGCAGGCACCAGGTCTGGCATTCCCAGTGTGCTGTAGACATCCCTTAGCAGGGCTGGGAATTTTGGGAACCAACCATCATTCCCATGTGTCGACGTGTACGTGCATGTGCGTGTGTGTGTGTGAGAGAAAGTGTGTGTGGAGATTTTAAACACCTAATTTATTCCATCTATTAGATAGATTTTGTAGATTTAATCATTTTCACAGTTGGTGGCTCATTGGATACTCAAGATAAACTCCAAATGAAAGTATAATGGGAACGACAAATGAGTTTTCACACCAGAATGGCAGAAACTTGCTCAGGAAAGAGTTTGAAAGGAACAAAACTATATACATATATAATTTTTTTTTTCTGCAGTGGCTTTTGCTGACTCCAGTAGGTTACCACAGTTAATTTCACCAGTTTTGTTCATCTGTAAAATTGCATAAAAGTGACATTTTTGTGCTCATTATAGGAACTGCTGATTTATGGCTGGTAAATGCAATGCTTTTCCATTTTTGGTGAGGTTCTCGTAGCAGCGCAAAGCACCCATGAAATTGCTTGTATAATGTAGTTTAAATCCAATCTCAGAGAAAGATTCCCCCGTTGGGTAAAGTGACATTTCCATTCTCCACACCGAGTTTATTTTAGGCCACTTACAAGTGACTCCCGTCAGCGGGAGGGGACAGCTCGGTGCCGTGACCTGGTTTCTGCCGGGAGCGGGTGGGATGGGGCCGGGGGAGGACGGTGCTGGGGTGCTGGGTCCCCTCACCCTGGTGGCACTGGATTCACCCCAAGCTTTGCTCCCGCAGGCGAGACGGCCCCCATGCATTCCCCGCGCTACCCCAGCCCCGCCGAGCTGGACGCCTACGCACAGAAGGTGGCCAACAGCCCGCTGACCATCAAGATCTTCCCCACCAACATCAGGGTCCCCCAGCACAAGCACCTTAACCGGACGGTGAACGGCTACGACACCACGGGGCAGCGGTACAGCCCCTACCCCCTGCACGCCGGCGGCTACCAGGGGCTGCTGGCCATTGTCAAAGCCTCCGGCAAAAGCGTGGTGAAGAACTCGGAGGGGAAGCGGACTAAGCTCTCGCCCGCCCAGGTGGGCGTCGCTCCCTACCCCGCCTCAAGCACTTTAGCTCAAGGTCCCTCCTGCGCCGCCGGGCAGCTGAGCTACCACGGCGGCCAGAAGCAGCTGGAGGGTCCCGTGCCCCCCAACGTGACGGTGGCGGCCTCGGTGCTGCCGCTGGCGGGCAGGAGCCTGGCCCTGCCGCCCTCCAACCTGCCCTCCATCCAGAGCATCATCTACCAGATCAATCAGCAGTGCCAGGCGCAGGGTGCCCAGCCCGGCTGCCCGGCCGTCGTGGCCGCCCACCCCAGCCCGGCCAAGCACGGCGCCGCCTTTGGCCCCGGCTACGGCGGCACCGTCCTGCCCGAGTGCCGCAAGGGCGCCGAGCTGGCGCTGGGCTCCAACCCAGCCCTGGGACCCAAGGCGGGCGTTTACCCCGAGGGCATGGACTACCTGGTGTGGCAGCAGAAGCAGCAGCAGCAGCACCTGCGAATGTACAGCGGGGGCAGCGGCGGCGGAGGGGCTCTCAGCAAGTCCCCCGAGACGTGCGCGGGCGCCTCGCGGCCCTACGGGCTGGGTGGTGGTGCCACCGCTGACAAGGTGAGCTCGTCCCCCTTGAACTGCATGCACGGCAACTTCGCAGTGGGGCAGTACTTTGCTCCCCCCTGGAACAGCATCCTGGTGACCCCCAACAGCGACTGTTACAACCCGCCGGAGCTGGGGGCCGGCCCCCGCGAGCTGGGGGTGCCCCCGGCCGAGGGGCTGCCCAGCAAGAGCCTCTGCAATACCTCCATCCTCAGCAGCAGCCTCCAGTCCCTGGAGTATCTCATCAACGACATCCACCCACCCTGCATCAAGGAGCAGATGCTGGGCAAGGGTTACGAGACCGTGTCTGTGCCAAGGCTCTTGGACCACCAGCACGCCCACATCCGCCTGCCCGTCTACAGATAAGGGAGCGATGCTGCTCTTCCCAAACCCAGGGCGAGGACTTGGCGCCAGCCGCGGGTACCGGACCGCGACAGCGAGGGCGGGGGGACAGGGAGGGGGACGGGGGGTCGGCTGCCGAAAGGGCTCCGGGGACACCGGGGTCCCCAGACTGGACACAGCCGTGACCCGCTGGAAGCTGAGGCCGAAGGACCGCTTGTCTATATAGCTCAGAAATCATTTTATCTCCACGAATGTGAACAGGGAATTGCTACGAGTTGCTGCTATCCAGGGAGGGGAGGCTCTGCCATGCTGGCGGTTCCCAGAGCGGGGCAGAGCCCGCTGGGGTCGTGGCCGGCCGGGAGGCTCCAGGGTGGCCAGTGCTGACCTGGCAGCTGTCCCCGAGGTTCCACTGTGGCCTGTCCTGGCACAGCAGTGGCTGGGAGGCTCCGTGGTGCCCAGTGCCAGCCTAGTGGTGGCCGGTCCCAGCCCGGCCGTGGCCACAGGGAGATGGCGCCTGACCTGTAGCTGAAGTCCGTAACTTGCACTGCTTTGATTAAAGCTAATAACTGGGGACAGTCTGGAGGCTATTTAAGAAAAACACTTGAAAACTTGAACAGATTTTTTTTGTTTTTTTAATTTTATTTTTTTTTTAGTTAACTAGGCTGTACATCTACGTGTTGGCTGCTACAGAGTCTCCTCCCACCCCTCTTCCTCCTCATCCTCGTCCCCTCACCCGGCCCCACAGTGGCCACGGCTCCTATAACCAGGAGATTTGGGACCCCCTCAGCCCTTCTCTCCTGGGAATCGCCGGCTCTCACACTTCCAGGCTGTTTTATTTCCCCCCTTACTGTCAGTTCTACCTTGGTTCTGGGTCGCGGTACTGGGGCGCTCACATACCTCCTTTTTTTTTTTTTTTTTTCTCTTTTTTTTTTTTTTAAAAAAACCCCAACAATTCCAAAATTCTCATTATGGTCCGTTATTCACTCTGTGTAATTCTGTGTTTAATAGATTTGTTCATTTACAAAAAGCTCCTCACTACAAAATACAAAGTGTTTTGATGTTTAAAGGTAAAAGAAGAATAATATCCCGATGAAACCCAAGGTGATTGTGCTCGGAAAAGAGGTACTGTATCCCTGAAAGCCTGTTCAAGCACTAAGTGCATTTACAAATCTCTGAGAATGTTTTTTTTTTATACTAAAATTGACCATTATATTCTACTGTGAGAAGTGCTGGCTGCACTATATTGTTTTAAAAATGAGAAAACAAAATGAAAAAAAAAAAAAGAAAAAAAAAAAGAAAAAAAAAACCAACACAAAACCCGCAAGCCGTGTGTCCGGATGGTGTTTTTCCCAAAGTAAAACCAGGATCTCGCTGGATGTGTGCTCTGGAGTTTCTTTGCTTTGCTGTGCCTCCCCCAGAGCTGGGACACCCCCCTGCTCCCAGAGATTTTTAGGGCACGGTGGAGCACCTATAAATAACCTGTTAACGATGCTGAGCCATTAATCCTGCCGGCACCAGTCTCTGCCTCACACCCAAGGGTGGCACATGGGACAAATCCCTGGGATTAGGGCTGTGGCCCCACATGCACCCAGGGGACACCGTCCCTCGTGGGGCAGTGGGTGCCGGGGTCAGGCACCGCGTCCCCATCCTGTCACCAGCACAGGGGGTGGCATCTCTGCAGCATCCATCACTCCTCTTTCCCTCTGGGTTTGCTTTGCAGGGCCGTTCCTGGATGGGATGGGATGGGATGGGATGGGATGGGATGGGATGGGATGGGATGGGATGGGATGGGATGGGATGGGATGGGATGGGATGGGATGGGATGGGATGGGATGGGATGGGATGGGAACCAATGGGGACAGGAATGGGGACAAGATAAGGAGGGAATGGGATAAGGGTGGGGATGGGACGGGATGGGAACCAATGGGGATGGGAATGGGGACAGGATGAGGAGGGAATGGGATGGGAACCAATGGGGACAGGATGAGGAGGGAATAGGATAAGGGTGGGGATGGGATGGGATGGGATGGGATGGGATGGGATGGGATGGGATGGGATGGGATGGGATGGGATGGGATGGGATGGGATGGGATGGGATGGGATGGGATGGGATGGGGACAAGGACAGGTAATGGTGATGGGGACACAGCCATGTGCCTGGAGCTGCCCCGTGGCTGTGGCTGAGGCCGGGGCTGGCAGCTCCATTTGTCTGCTTTGCTCCCTCACCACAACTCCACCGGTATATATGGCACACCGGGAGGGGACCTCTCTGTCACTGGCAGCGAGCGGCGTGACAGCCGATCCGGGGAACAAAGAGAAATTGGGACAAAAGGAAATTTTCACAGAGGTTAACATTACTGATGGGAGGGGGTGCCACTGCCTGTCTGCGCGTTGAAATTATTCCGTCTGGAGGAAGATCCGTGCTCAGATCTTTGTCATTAAAAGATGCCACATCAAAGGGATGTGAGGCTGGAGCATGGCAGGGCTGCTGGCGGGTCCCTCTGTGCAGGGCAGCCCCTCCTTGGGGACCCCCACGCACCCAAGGGGGACTCTACAAAGGCTGGGGTGCACGGAGCCGTGCTGGGGGCTCCAGGAGAAACTTTGCTCCGTCAGCAGCGCCCGTGGGAGGAGGATTCATTAGCGCTGCCTCCATCAGATTTCCCAGCTCGCCATAAATCAGGGCGAGTGGCTGGGAGCGACGGCACGATCCATCTTGCGGGTCTCCAAGTCATTACATTTCATTAGGAGGTGTGCGGGGGTTTTTATTATTTAGCAGGTTAATTCTCCCCTCAGATCGCTCCTTGGGAGGAGGATTTCGCTGGGCACGGGGAGCATTCAAGTGTGGAATGCAAAATAAATGGGTCCCTCCTTGGTGGGCACCTGCTGCAGGTGCAGGTGAGCAACGTGGGGACCCAAAATGTGCACAGACACAGGTGGGAGGTGGGGCAGGGACACCTGAGGTACATCCCAACCCTGAGGATGAAGACACCACAGCCCATTGCCCTCCCATTCTGTGGGGCACAACACCCATGAGCACTGTGGGAACATGCTGAAGGAAATGATGCTGCTTCTGGCCTACAAATACTCAAATTATACCAATAATAATACCAATAATAATACAAATTTCTAAGGCAGGTGTGCATGAGGCTGATATTAAACTTAGCGTCCGCCTTTGCTGTTTGGGAGCGAGGAGGAGAGACAGGCAGTATAAATTGCACGGCTGCAAAAGGACTTAAAAAAACCCATCTCTCATTTTGATTGATATTAGCTTCACAAATTAAGCTTTAGATTTATCTAAAAATAAATTTGCTTCCACGCTCCGCATTCTGGATGACAAGTGCTTTTCTCTTCCCTTTGTTGGGTTTGTCATCTCTGGCAGGGCGGCGTGGGGAGGGGCAGGAGGGGCAGGAGGGGCCGGGTACCCCCCGTTCACCAGCCCCCTGGTGCCCCCATCACCACAGCTGGGGGTGAAACAGCTCCAGGCTCGGTGGGGCAGGGGGTAAAAGGGCCAAAGTCACTCCCTGAAGGTGGCAGAGGCCTCCTGTGCTGGGGTGTCACCACGGTGGCTGTGGTGTCCCTGTCCTCACAGAGCCACCGCAGGGTGCAGAGTGATGATGCAGGGGCTTGGTGACAGCTTCTCACACCCCAAATCCTTTCAAAGCTCACTGACATGTGGCCTCTTGGCTTTGGGGCATCAAGAGCTGCACGGGAGGGGAGAAAATTGGTTTATGGCTCATTTTACTGGAAAATCCCATCTCTGGTGCTGCAGCCATGGTGCTGAGCCCATCTCTGGCTGAGCCCTGCTCCAGGGCTCCCCAGCCACCGCTGCCCACTGTGGCAAGTTTATTGTTTTCACCCAAGAGCCAGCCTAGAAGCAGAGCAGCTCAGCTCCTCACTCGATTATGAAGCAGGAGCCGCCACCTCCGCCTCTCCCAAGGAGCGATAATGAAACATATTCATCCCTCACCCTGGGGAAATACTTAAACCACAATATGAGAGATGTATGTAAATCACATTTAAACGGAGACGGTGTTAACGCTGACGGCGACTCATCAAGTTGGAAGATGAGGTGTCCCCTCTGCTGCTAAAGTGTTTGCTGAGAGAGCGGGGCTGTCCCCAGGGCCCTGGCCAGGGTCTCTGTGTCACCACGCCACTGGTGGCCACACAAAGCGCCCCTTCACACCCGCACAAGGTCCAGCTGGTGAAGGAACGCTGAGCACTGCAGGTGGCCGGGAGGGTGAGGAGGGAAGGAGCTACAGAGGGGTGATGGACGGGATGGGGTGAGGATGGGAATGGGATGGGGATCCATGGGGCTGGGCTAGGGACGCGAGGGGATGGGGTACGGATGTTTGGGGATGCAGAGAGCCGGTTTGTCATGGCCCGAGAGTGGCCCCAGCCCCAATCTCGGGTGCGGGGTCAGCCCGGGCTGGGCCCGCATCGCGCGGTGTGTGCTGCCCTCCGCTGGAGCGAGAGTGCACACCGCATCCTGCACCGCATCCTGCACCGCACCTGGGCATTGTAACCTGTGTCACACCTGGGCATCGTAACCGTGTGTCACACCTGAGCATTGTAACCTGTGTCACACCTGTGCATTGTAACCTGTGTCACACTGTGCATTGTAACCTGTGTTACACCTGGGCATTGTAACCGTGTGTCACACCTGAGCATTGTAACCTGTGTCACACCTGGGCATCGTAACCGTGTGTCACACCTGGGCATTGTAACCTGTGTCATACCTGGGCATTGTAACCTGGGTCACATCTGGGCACTGTAACCTGTGTCACACCTGGGCATTGTAACCTGTGTCACACCTGGGCATCGTAACCATGTGTCACACCTCGGCATTGTAACCTGTGTCACACCTGGGCATTGTAACCATGCACCGCATCCCTGCACTGCATCCTGCACCGCATCCTGCACCGCACCTGGGCATCGTAACCGTGTGTCACACCTGGGCATCGTAACCTGTGTCACACCTGGGCATTGTAACCTGTGTCACACCTGTGCATCGTAACCTGTGTCACACCTGGGCATCGTAACCCTGCACCGCACCTGAGCTCAGCATGATGGGTGACCATGCCCTAAGGCACGGCTTGGCACAGCTTGGCACGGCACGGAGCAGGCAGCTCCTCCATCCCAGCCCTGCCAGCGGCCTGGCTCTCCTGCCCGGAATCACCCAGTGCCAGGAGGAGACGGCGGTGGCAGGTCAGTCTTTATTACTGAATAAATAATCGTATAAACCTTGTGCAAAACTTTGTGGCAAAACCATCGGCCTCATCGTGGCTGTGCCGTGCCGGGAGCCTTGGGGTGGGGAGCATGGCACAGCCACGATGAGGCGAAGCGGTGGCACCGGTGAGAGCCGAGACCATGAGCAGTGCCAGGCCCCAATCCGGGCTAGACACCCGCCGGGACAGCGGGAGGGACAGGGGCTGGGTGAATCCCTGAGGAGCAGACAAGCACCATCCAGCTCAGTCCCATCCCGGAGCAGCTCCGGGGCCCAGGCAGAGTCCGTCAGCTGCCGGTGCTCCGTGCTAGAGCGGGGAGCTCGGGGCATGGCCGTGCCGCCGCTCCCGCGGCTCCGCTGTGCCCACGGTCCCCAGGGCCACCACCACCTCCTCTGGTGGGCAGCTCTTGTTCAGCTCCACCACGCGTGGCACCACCGTCGACCACCGATCTGTGGAGAGGGTGGGAGATGCACAAAGCCGGGAGATGTGGCTGCTCCCCAGCCCCCCAGATCTGCTCCTGGGGCTCATCAGAGGCTGCAAGCAGCATCCTGGGGGATGTCCCGGCCCACAGCACTGCGCTCACCTCTTCGCAGCCGGCCCACGGTGTGGGAGAAGCCGTAGTACTGGTATGTGTCGCTCTTGCCCGGGTCCTCGCTGATGATGCCCAGATTCTGGTTCCAGTGGGACCAGTTCACCTCGTCCACCCTGTGGGGAAGGTCAGACCCGCAGGGGCTGCACGGAGCGCCCGGGAGCCAGGGCAGGAGCTCCAGCACCCACCGACAATGCCAGCTGCCCCCAGACTACTACAAAGCACCCAGCAAATGAGTGCAAGGTGCCAGCCCCCCAAAAATGCTGCCGGGAGAGGGTCAGCTGCTCCCCAGCCTCCGAGGGCGCCCACCTTTACCTGAAGCACCAGCGGCGGTCAGGGGTCCCGTCCGTGCCCTTCCCCACGGTGACCATCTCCCCCGAGCGGAAGGCTTTCCGCAGGAACACCGGGAAGGAGCGCTCGATGTCCAGGATGGTGGTGGCCCACTGCCAGGGACACCAGGGACTGCTTGAGGATGGAGGTGCCTTGCCCATGGAGCTTGAGATGCCTCGATGCTGCAGCCCCCCAGGCACAGGCAGCTCCTGGAACCCCCACCCTGCCATCCC